ATATTATATATATATGTTTTGTTTACTGTTTAGTATTAGTAGGGTGGTCTTATCAGAAAATTACTCATGAAGTAAAAAAAAAAAAATACAAAATTTTGAGTTTGATGTGTCGTTGTAAATTAAGTCCTAAATAATTTTGGTTGAGGTGATGACCATTTGTCAGCTGAAGTTGGTGAATTAGGGCCCGTTTAGTTCGCTGATTCGAATTTTTAATTTGAGTTGAGATGTGATTTTATGTGAGAGTTTTTTATTGTAATAAAAAAATTAAATGTGATTATTTATGAGAACTTTTTACTATAGCAAAATTTAAATTTTAAATTTAAATCAATGAAATGAACAGAGTTTTATATTTATCTGTAAATGGAGCTTTACAAAAGCGAAACACAGAGTTTCTTTCACTTTAAAAGTTTTCCTTTTTTGTGTAACTGTGTGCTTGTGATTGCTTAACGACCAAACCGTGAATAATGCTGGTAGTCAAGGGATATATGATTGAATGATCTGAAAACAACAATAATGTGCTTGCTGGTGGAAAACTTGGAAAGGGCATAATCTATTTTTTCGTGGAGATTTCTAGAAATATAGGGTGCGTCTACGATGATCTTATTTATTTATTTTTTTTTTATGAAAATAAAAATGAAAATATTTTTAATTTAAGACAGAAATCATTTTTGTAAATGTGTTTGGTAGTTTTATCAAGAGATTGTTCTCAGTATAAAAAAACTTATTAATGTCTCTCTCTTTCTTTGCTCGAGAAAGGAGAAAACGAAAATAAAAAATAAAAAACGATTAAAAGTCATTTTTCATTTCTCTCTCATTTTACATTAAACCAAAAAATCATTTTCATTTCCGTTTTTTTGTCTTTAACTGTGTCAAACGCCGTTTTAAAATCATTTTTTGTCTTTATCAAAAAATGTGAAAAATAAAAACAAGAACAGTTTCAAACACAACAATAGTATATTACATTATCCTTCTTTGTTTTTCTTTATTTATTTTTAGAGAATACCATTGTGAGAGCACCTAACTATATGGATTATTAACAATAATCTTACCGCACTTATAAAATAAGGGGCGTTTGGTATGCAGTAATCTTAAGGATGAGAATGAGAATCTGTAATATTACTATGTTTGGTACAAGAATTATAATTTTTAGATTCCCAGGAAAGTGATTACCATGAGATTCACTTTCCCTCATTTTAAGGTAATTTGAATACCACCCAACATGGGGTTATTCAAATTCTCAGGAATCTCAAAATTATGGGAATCTTACCCACACACCCAGTGTAGCTTACCACCACTAAGCATCTCCTCTCCCCCTGTCATAGCTGCCGAGCACCTCCATCATAGCTACTGTCCAAGCTCGCCGCCGGAGTTCCCCCATCACCGCCATAGATGCCAAACAACCTGATGAGGACATCAGGGATGCAATGAATACTCACGATCCAATTCAAGTCCCAGTTGGTCCGGTGACGAGGTATCAAGCTAAAAGATTTAAAGAAGAATTGAATATCCTAGTCCGGAGAGTTCTACAATAAAAAGAGAGAGTGTTCACTACTGAGGGTGAACAAAGGTTGGTTTTACACATTCAAGTTGATCCGGAAGAGAGCCATTCAGACATACACGTCCATTAAGGCATTGCATGACCAATTCGCATGTCATTCCAAGATACACGTGCAAGGGGGAGTCCAAGAGGATGTAGGCGTGTTTTCCAGCCAGGAATCAAGTCTAGATTATGGATCAAGACTTGATTTCGTCACAATCTTATCTTTTTAGATTTAAGTTTCAATTTAAACATTTAAATTCCATAATAGGCGTTTAGAAGGAAGGAGTTGGAGTCAAATTCAGATTCCTTCCCAAGGATAAGTTTTTAGGCGTGTGTTATCTTATCTTTAGGTGTTATCTTGCTTTAGGCGTTTCTACCTCATTAAGGGTAGAATATGACTTTTACAATTTTAAAACTCTGCATGTTATTTTTGGCTATTTAAGGCTGCAATTCGATTAATAAAATAGTTTTGATGTTTTATTCACATTGTGAGATATTCTTCTTGAGTTCTTGAAGAAACTATTCCGAACTTATCAAGGTTTTCTTGTAGCGTTCAAACTTGACTTATCAAACAGATTTCCATACTCGTTTGTGGCATTTTCACCATACCAAGGTTCTTATTTTGCTAAGCAACGGATTGCAGTTTCCATTAATTCTTGAAGATCTTGAATCGTAATCTCATATTTGGTTACGGGTTTCGTCATGTTGTTGGCTCGGTTCGTATCACAACCCCCCATCAAACTCATCGTCGAAGCTTTCCCATCCCTACCATGGTTGCCAAACCCCCCTCCCGCCACCAAACTCATCGCCAGAGCTCACCCATCTCCAGTAACGACCTCTGCGAAGCCACCGCCCATCACAACTACTCTTCTCCGTCGCTCACCACCTTTGTCGCAGGCCCCTGTCCGTCACCCATACACCGTCACTGCTCCTCCGACAACGTCATTGCTGGCCCTCTTCGCCCTAACACGTCCCAAATCAGTGGACAACAACTCACTTCCCCTCCCTCTGCTCCATCTATTCCAAGAACAAAAGCCGCCCAAGTCCGATTTGAGCAAGAAGAAAGAGGCGAGGCAAGGCCTGATTTGAGCGAGTGAGGGAGAGATAGTTTTTTTTTAGTTTGTTATATTTTTTAAATCTAATTTATCAAAATTATAATCACTTACAAAAATAAATAGTTTAAAATTATTTAAAATGTTTAATTTTATAAGAAAAATTACATTATATTACTGTGCACAGCCAAACACCGTAAAATAACATTCTTGAGAATCTGACAAAAGATTCATACGCATAACCAAACATGATAATGTAAATTTCTAGAGAATCATATTACTCACTATCGCTTTTCCAGGTATTTAATATTTATTGATTACTGCATACTAAATGTCCTTAAGTGTTATGACACAAGTTAGGAATTATGTCTTAATAATAATAATAATATCTCACCTATAATATGGACCATTTGATTTGAATTCCACGTATATGGTTAATAGTCCTCATGTGGTCCCGTGGTGAGAATACCCCATTGTAGAATTTCTTTTACATTTTTTGTTCTTATAATATCTTAAAAAAATTTACAAAGTTGGATTTTTTATTTTATTATTTTATTGGGGGTGCTCTGACTTTTATGTTTCTGACACTACACTAATTATTAGCACTATTGCCGACTATTATGGGGCATCATGATTAACAACATTGTAAAGTTAAAAGGAATCTTCCACTACCGACTGGCATAATAGCCATTTTCATGTGTAGGTTAGTTTATTAATCCAAACTTAAGTTAAACTCCATCTAATTTGGTAGGAACCTTATGAGATCTAGGGGTTAATTAATCACATTATATGGACTTTCAGCAAATATGTTATACATTTATCCTTGTGTGTATGCTTAAACTTTTATTTATAGTCCTCATAACCGAGTTCTTAATTGACTTTTAATTTGCTACCTTTTGTGCCTATTCTTAGGTAAAGCTCGTAAAGGAGTTCGGCTATGATGATGCATTCAACTACAAGAAAGAAACGGATTTTGATGCTGCTTTAGCCAGGTAATTATAACGTGGCATGGTCATTATAATTAAATAATATATACTGTTAGATATGTTTTTTTAGGCAAGTATTTTAGAGAGTGTTGCAATACTTTATAAAACACTGGTTGATAACTAATTTTTGGATTCAGTTCGTTCAAATAATTAAGCATGATAAAATACAAAAAATAAATGCACACAAAATATGGTATTACAGTTCAGTTAAACTTAGACAGTGAACAATTTATTAAGTTCTAAAAAGCTACAGACACCAATCAGATTTATACACTCAAAAACTCCTTCCTTTACGTTGTCCCCGCCATGCTAAATCTCCTTAATGACTATGTCTAGCGAGCGTTATTCATTTTCAAACTACATGACAAAATTCTTTCAACTGTTATTATGTCCTCCCCAAAACTTCTAATCTTTCAACCAAAAGACGAACTCAATGACACATAAAGCTTACAATCTCACAGACTATACTCTAACTATTTTCTTTGAAAACCTGTGCCCCAAATATCACCTTCAATTTCTCTAAAAACTCAAAGACATAAAAAATCAAATTTTCTTACTTCCGAGGCACACCCCTTCACATACACACACATGCAAGATATATAGCAACAATTGTAAAAACCTTTCACGGGTAATCCAAAACAGTCATATCTGTCTCTGCAAAATATCTCCTTATTAACCGATTTGCCCTTTTCAAATATACTCCACGATTTGCTCAATATAAAACCCACCAAGATAGCTCTACCAAAAACCAATTATCCACTCAGCATAACCCACTCACGTTAAATCCATAATGATCTTCACAAAGCCAACCACATCTGATGTTACTGCTATAAAAGATAATGCCATCTCTTTAGCATTGTTGACCTCCACGTGATAAAATCACGTCATTCTCTTTAAAAGTCAAATCAGCCACTAATTACGTGTGATTTATGAATTCAGATTTATGATTCAGAATCATTTTTATATTTATGTATATTTTTTATAAAAGAAAATATTATAACGAATTACGAACTATAATTCAAATTATAGTATGAATCTACCAACCAAACACACCTTTAAGATTCAGATTATTCCCATATTCAAGTCCAAATCCCACCTCTTTGAAATTTAAAAGCCCAATCAAATCTTCATGATTTTCTCTTTGAATAAAATTCACATGATTCTCTTTAAATAAAATCCACATGATTCTCTGTCAACTCCAAATAATATTCGGATAATGTCACAAATATCAAATCCAAATTGACCTCTACAAAATCTACTTTTCAAATCAGATCTCCAACTTTAACTCAAATTCGACAAAAAATCTACAGTCTAAAACGGTTCTGCAATTTTCTACAACTTAGCATCTTGATCTTCAAGTCGAAACCTGTTTTTGAATTTTGTACAACCCATTGCTAAAATATTGCCGATTAAAGTTTTAACAATCTCCCATTTTAGCATTTTCTAACAAAACTAACACTTGTTGCTATTAATAACAAAAATTCAAAAACTAAAAAAAAATTAAAAAGTTTACGAATCCTTCTCAAAAGTTTAATCTGTTAGGAAGTGGACTAACAATAATTTTTATATTTTAACACTCGCCCTCACGTGTGGGCTGGACAATAGACAATCGTGTGAGTAAATTAATTGGAAAGCCTAACACGTGAATATTTAAGCTCGAGATATCTTAAAAACCCAACACATGACAATTTTAAATGGGGATAAAAGTGTAATTATGGGAGTTTGAACTCAGAACCTCTCGCTCTGATACCATGTTAATTTACCAAGCAATCCTAAAAGCTTAAGCTGTTAGGAGGTGAGCTAACAATAATTTTTATACTTTAACACAACCCATTACCAAAATATTGCCAACTAAAGTTCTAACAATCTCCCATTTTAGCATTTTCTACCAAAACTAACACATTGTTGCTACTAATAATAAAAATTCAAAAACTAAAAAATAAAAAATAAAAAATACATTGTTCTCCCCCTTTTTGACAAAAATAAGCCAAAGACAAAAGTAAAACAAAAGTAAAGAAATTCACTTTCTAGACACGTTTCTAGAAACTGATGTGGCAGATCATGTTTTAACACTTGTTGGAACACTCGGTGCAATACTCACTTGTCATTGAGCTCTGTAGCTGACTCGCTATGAATCTTTTCTTTGTCTTACTCCCCTTGAATGTAACATTCTCTGTGTCTTGCTCTTATCACCTGTCTATTGCTTGGAGTAACCACCACCACAATACTAATTGTCAGTAGTACATGCTTTTGAAGAAGTATAAACCTTATGACACCTGAAATTAGATTTTCGTACCCACACAGGTCTAGAAAATTTATTTTGCACACCAATCTTCATATTAGATGTCTTCTTTGAGTTTGCAGAATTTTGTGGATTAAGGAGCATATATCTCTTCAAAGCATTCAAATACTTGTAACATCTCGGTCTTATATGGCTAGGTAAATCGCAGTAATAGCATTTGGGGACAAACCTTTTACGTCGAGGGGGTGAGATAATAACATTCTTACTAGGGGTAGTCCGAGGTTTAGGAGCAAGTGACGCTTTAACAAACATGGTCCTTGACGTTGAACTCTTACCGGTGTATCCAAAGCCATGACGATCACCACTTGATTTTCCTAATAAAAGAATATGATCCAATTTGGTAGTGCCGGAATTCATCATCTTCAATGCTTTTTGAGTGTTCTCTAATTCAACCCTTGTTTCTTTCAATTTTCCTTCTCTCTCAGTAGCCATAAACTCATAATTGATAGCAGCTCTTTTCAACACTTCATTCTCTTTGACAAGCTCGTCGACTTGCTCCCGTAGAGATTTATTCAATTTGTACACTTTAACCCACTTGCGGAACATGGTCTTGTAAGCTTCTTGAATGACATCAACAGTCAGATCCTCACCATCACTACTACAGTCAGAATCTGACGCGGCTCCGTCTTCTTTACTGTTTCTAGGATATGTTGCAAAAGACGTTGCAACACTGTCTCTGACACTATTTGCAACAATGTCGTCTGAAACTTTCTGATCAATATAAATGTTAAAGGCAACGTAATTACTCACATGTTCATCATTCTCCTGACTGCCTTCAGAATCTTCATCACTACATGGTTGAGAGATTTCTTCTTCTTCTTGAGAGTATTAGAACACTCAGATTGAATGTGTCCATAACCATCACATTCCCGGCGTTGAATTCTTCAATTTTTTTGTCTTTGCTTTTGAGCTGATTTTTATAGCTTTATCCTTCTGAAAATTATTAGAGTTGCTAAAGTTTGGCGTTTTGTTCTTCTTGTTGAACTTCTTAGTGCCATCAATTAGTGAGGGCCGTGTAACCGAACCTCCTTCCATTAGAAAGTATATTCCTGCGATCATAGGTTTATTCTCAAAATCTGACCAAGCATATGATTAGTAAATGTTAGATATGTTTTTTTACGCAAGAGTTCGAGAGAGTGTTGTAACACTTTATGAAACACTGATTGATAATTAATTTCTAAATTCAGTTCATTCAAATAATCAAGCGGGGTAAACTGCAGAAAATAAATGGACACAAAATATGGCATCGCAGTTTGGTTAAACAACATACATCTGCGGGACCACGCCCAGGCAATAAACAATCCACTAAGTTCCAAAAAATTACAGATACCAATCGGACTTATACACTCAAAGACTCCCTCATTGATGTTGTCGCCGCTGTGTCGAATCTCCTTAATGATTTTGTTCAGTGAGCACCACTCGTCCTCAAACTGTGGGCGAAATCTTTTTGGCTGATTATGCGCTTTTGCTCGAAAGCTTTTGATCATTCTTCCAAAGGACGAACTGAAAGACACATAAAGCTCACAATCTCACAGACTATAAACTCAATATTTTTTCTGAAAACTCCTGCACCAAATATCACCTTCAATTTCTCTAAAAACTCAAAGCCATAAAAAATCAAATTTTCTTACTTCCGAGGTACACCCCTTCACGTACACACACATGCAGTATATATAGCAACAATTGCAAATACCTTTTCACGTGTAATCGAAAACAGCCATATGAGTCTCTACAAAATATCTCCTTATTAACCGATTTGTCATTTTCACATATACTCCACGATTTGCTCAATATAAAATCCACCAAGATCTTCCAAAAACAAATTATCCACTCAGCACACGTTAAACCCATAATGATCTTCACAACGCCAACCACATCCGATTTTGGTGTTCTAAGTGATAATGCCATCTCTTTAGCATTGCTGCTCTCTGCGTGATAAAATTATCACATTCATTCTCTTAAAAGTTAAATCAACCACTAATTGAAAGATCGGAAATAGTAGAAAATATGTCAATATGAAAAACTTAAGGAAGTATATAGGCCAACTTTTAGTTATAGAAATTAATACACCATAACTTGTCAAGTTATGGTTCATAACTAGATAAGTTATGGACAAACTTGTCAAGTTATGATTCATAACCAGACAAATTATTGATAAAAACCGTAATTTATAGACAATAACTTGTCAAGTTATGGTTTATAACCAGACAAGTTATGGACAAAAATAATAATTTAGCCTATTTATTAACTTATATAAACTATTGATCTATTAATTTTAATTCATCTCAAGTCATGGCCTATTTTCCTCTTTTCCCCTTAAAGATTCAGATTATTTCCATATTCAAGTCTGAATCATTGTAGCACCTCAAAAGCCCAATCAAATCTCCATGATTTTCTGTTTAAATAAAATCCACATTATTCTCTGTCAACTCCAAATAATATTCGGATAATGCCACAAATATCAAATCCAAACTAACCTCCACAAAATATGCTTTTCAAATCAGATCTCCAACTTCAACTCAAATTCAGCAAAGAATCTGCAATCCATAACGGTTCTGCAATTTTCTGCAAATTGGCATCTTGATCTTCAAGTCAAAACCTGTTTTTGAATTTTGTATAACCCATTGCCAAAATATTGCCAACTGAAGTCCTAATATATACGTAATCTTTTTTGTTGTACAGAATGCGTATTATATATCAGTAATGCATAATTAGTTTTCAATTATTGACAATCAGGTAAATTTTTTTAGGAACGTTTATTTAACAGAGTTTCATATAAAGGTAAATGGTAGATCATGGAACTAAAAAAACCGCAAATGGAATTAACTTTTCATTTTTCATAGGTACTTCCCAAATGGAATCGACTTGTATCTTGACAATGTTGGCGGTAAGATGTTTGAGGCTGTCCTTAACCATGTCAACAAGTATGCCACGATCCCTGTTTGTGGCATGATATCTGATTACAATAAGGTAATGCTTCATAGATAATAAAAAATGGTTTGCGTACGGACCCATCGAATGGATGTAACTTGTAACAGTACAAACGTAACATGACATTTTTACAAATTTAAGACACTAAGCTCCTATTTATTTTAACCATCCGAATTGTTATTTAAGATTCAAACTGTAGTTCATGATTCAAATTGATATTTGATGGAGGACAATTTAAGAACAATTGAAATAATTAACAATGGTTCAAATTCTTAGATTTTAGAATTCACCACCCACTAAATTTTAACAATCCTAATTGTTCTCTACAGTGAATACAATTCTGATTTTACTTTTTCTTTGTCCTAAATTTCAAGCTTAAAAATGTTATAATTTCTTTGTTTTAATTCTGATTGAGATGGTTTTTTTTTTCATGTGTTCATAATGAAGAGAGGAACAAATCTCCTTCCATATTGTATATTTTTTTGATGTCATTTACAAAGATTTTATAAGATTTATTACAAAACTCTAACGACAATTTTCAATACTTTATCCAAACACAGTTTGGATTTTAATGCAATTTCAAATTACAATTTATTTGCACATCCAAACACCGGTTCGAATTACAATTCAAATCACCACAACTCAAACTAAATCAACAATTCGAATTATTGAACCAAACAAGGTCTAATATAATTAATTATCTCTCACTATTATTACACTTTTATAATATCCGTATTATGTTAAATAACTAAATTAAAGTGTAATACAAGCCTAAAATAGTTAAATTACATTATTTTAATATTTGTGTTATGTTAAATAAATGTCATGTCATGTTTTTATTTGTATATGTTATGATGGTGAGACTGTCCTATCAATTGGAACATAGAAAAGACCTATATATCTATAATATACACACACATATATATGTAGACAGGTTTTTTAATAGTTACGTTTTTATTGGTGGCTACCACCAAATATAGAAATTTGATGGCATGACGTGATAAGAATCTAGTTTCATTAATTGTCATAAATTTTTTTGGTCAATTATATAATTTATTATAACCGTCGGATTAATATCTTACGGCTAAAACAATGATACTGATGAATAAGTAAATATTGGAGTAACCATTAAAAACACACAATATATATAGATATATATATATATATATTTCTCTCCTATCTCTATGACCTTTTTTGGGCTGTATATTTAAATTTCTTGCATGAAATGTGAAGGTTTGGACAAATCGAGAGGGGGTCAGGAATCTGCTGAATATGGTGGGCAAGGAGGTGAAGATACAAGGTTACTTGGTGGGAACGTATATGGATCGTTATGAGGATTTTATCAAGGAAATGGTGAGCTATAAAAAACAAGGGAAGATTAGTTCCAAGTACAAATTCTACCAAGGAATCGAACAGTTCTTGGAAAGTCTTGAATCGCTTTTCACCGGCTCCTGTGCTGGAAAAGTCTTGATTCAAGTGAAGTAACATAGATGGATCAAGACGTCACACACTCTATCACTCATTAATCAATATTATATATTTATATGATGTTTGGTTTATCAAAACTTTGTACTGTTAAATAGTGTGGCAATTGAGTTGGTAATTTTAATAACTAGTAAGATTTAACTTTCTACAAATAATTTCACCAATTGAAATTAAATGATACAACACTTGCCATATTATTTTGGTACCAAAAAGAAAAAAAAATTAAATGCTTAATTTTTGTTGTGTAATAATACACAGCAGTCTTGCTTATCGACTGTTGTTAATTATTTTCTAATATTTGAGGATTAAATGTTGCAGTTGTTATTGAGTATCATTTACTATTGATGACCAAAAAAGTGACGATATATATTGTATCATTTGCTATCCTAGTACATTATGGTACCTGAACTTATCTTTTTTAATCATCAATAGTTCATGAAATGTTACTGTCATTTGTACTTGAATGACTAAGACCAGTATTTGTTCACTCAAAAATTAAAGAAGTAATCTTATTAGTATTATTTTTTCCTCAACCAATTATGTCCTTCGTCTTTTTAGGGACCGTTAAAGGCAGTGAAAAAAAAAAAAAAGCTTTTAACTTAACATCTAATATAAGGTAAAATCCATGTAAGTATACTAAAATAAATACCCCATATGTACATATGTTATGTAAAGTTCTATTTTTCACGCAACACTAAAACAAAGTATTTCATGGATTGCCCCCAGTTTCAATTATATTTTTATTACCGTCATGTCAAATTATTTTAGTTATCATAATAATTATTGCAAGTCAGTATTGTAGTATCTCTTACTAATCAAAATAATCATTGTGGTAATTACTACTATAGTAGTGACACAAAAGAAAATAATATGGCAGTGCTATGTGTTATTATCAGTGATAATCACTTATATTTTTCTAATCAGCCACAAATTCTGATAATAATTTTTATCTAATTAAAAAATTAATGGAGATAATCTTTTGATGATAACTAGCTTTTTTCATAAGAACAATAAAATTAACAAGCGTGCACAAGGTTTGTAGTGGAGGATTAAATGGCTTGAAACAGGGTAGTGTGGGAAGTGCCTGAGTGCATGAACTGCATGAAAAGTATATGGACAACACTCTTTTACTCATGCGATCCCTATGTTCCCCATAATATCCTCACGCAATTAACCTATACCTACGAAATGCCCTCAAAATGTTCCAGTGATCTTTAAAGAAAGCCCATAAGTGAATTTTATTATACAAATCGTTCAACTTACTTTTAAAGTGTACACGTATGAATTTTTACCACTTTCTTTAGATTAATACCCTTTAATGATTCATATATTTTTTGACTAAAAAAAATATTAATCAAGAGTAAAAAATAAAAATCTAAGCCCATACACTCTAAGGGGTATTTATCTCATTTTCTTTTTTGAATGGAGAAGACTATTTTACTCATTCAATAGAAAATAGTGAATTTTAATAATTGGATTAGTTTTTCAACGCTTTAATTTAGAATAAGAGTAGTAAATTTTTAATGCGAGCATCTACAAATTTAATCTTTCCGTTCACTTCGCTGATTCGAGTTTTTTTACAGTAAAAAACTCTCACAAACAATCACATCTAACTTTTTTGCTACAGTAAAAAGCTCTAACATAAAGCCACATCTCAACTCGAATTCTAAACTCGAATCAGCAAAGTGAACGGGGCCTAAACAAACAATTAAAAACAAATCTTATATCGATTGACTAAAAATGTATGTTCTACCATAAAAGTTCCCATAGTATTTTCCTTTTTCTTAAATATTTCTGCGCAAACATGATTCCAAATATAATAAATGTTGGTGCGTGAAATTATGTAGACCCAAAGTCATTGCCAAAAATGATTAATGAGCATAAGACGCCAAAAGACCCAGACGTGAAACATGCACATGCTTGTCTGGTGAAGTGCATAAATGTTCGTCTCATGACTCTCATCTCACGTTTAAAAGGAATATATTTCATTATTATTTGGAAACATTTGACATTTGGGACTGTACTTAGCGATGATTAGGGAAAAGATGGTATGCTTGAACCTTTTTTTTTTTTTTTTTTTTTTCTTCTTTTTCCCTTTTCTGACAACATGTAAATTTTGGGAGAGAGACGTTTTCACAACCAATAATATTATAGTACTATAAAAAAAAAACCAATAATATTATAGACGAAAGCCAGTGCTTTATAATTGAAAGATGACCCTCCTATATATAAATTTTGCAACTTTATCTACTTTTAATATCCAGATGTAAGCATCAATTCAGGAGTTTCATATACTTCTTATACAAGAATTCTAGTCCTCCTAAGTCAAGTGTGCTCAATATACTAGTTTACATTTGGTAAACCTAAAAAATTCTTAATTATCAAATAAGGCTTGGCGATCATCTCTGGTTGGGATTTTTCTTTTATTTTCCTTTTTCATTTGTGCTCTTGATTGGTGTAACCTCTTTGGAATTTAAAATCTGAAATGAAGGATGTACTACTTGACTATAGAAAATAATTGAAAGCTAGGTTAAACTATATAATATTGATGATGATACATAGAATTGTACATACACAAAACACCAGCGAATTACGACCTAGTGTTCTCTTGTTACACTGAAGTACAACATGAGAAAAAGAAAATGTAGGTATCCTTCATCATCACATCTATTAAGTTTTCTTTTTCTTTAATTAATCACTGCGCTAGAACATTTATTAGAGTACCCTAATAAAACCTAACTGAAATGATTAAAAAAAAAA